CTCGAGGATGATCGTTTCAAAAAATTGTTCAGCGACGAAGATTTTGAGGTAATTCTTTGTACCTACATATCTGAATTTTGGCTAAAAAAACAGTTCATTGAGTCACAGTTTCTCTTTTCTCTTATCTGTAGGATATCCTCGGCGAGATCTAGTAGATAAGGGGTTTCCCTGATTAGAAGGACAAAATTTGCAATCCTTCGCGTAGCATGTATTTGGAAACATAGAAGAAATCCATAGTGCACGGGTGTAAAGAAAATACTTTTTTTTAGGTAAACGAGGAAAATGAGCAGTTCAAGCGTAATGCCGCCTTTGCCCACCACAAGGAAAAATCCACGAGAGTGGTAGAGGAGGAGGAGGAGGATGAAGAACACAATGAAAGTGAAGAGGTAACAGATATTCTATCTAAATTTAGTCTGTTTTTGCTATTAGACGCAACAAGTACGACGTTCATGCACAAAACTTTATTTGGGAGCTTTTAGGAAGAGGAAGTAGCTCAGTCTGAGTTGCCAGACTTGAATGAAGCCGAGGGCAGTCATATTGGAGCGGAAGCGTCTAGTAGCGATAGTGGCAGCGAGGAGGACGAGGAGTCTCTTTCAACTAAGAAAAAGCTAGCGAAAGAGAAAGAACGTCAAAAGCAAGAAAAGCGGGAGCGTCATCGTAAACAATATGAGGAATTATTACAACAGAGAGAAGCAGAACGGTAAGATCTGTAAGTCGAGTTGGCATTTTTCCAAAGATCGCTTGCAGAACTGCTCGTCTCGTAAACAAGCCGAAGAAGTTTGTGTTTTATGAGCTGGATTCCACGGAGAACACTAGGAAATTCCTTGACGAACATGTAAAGGAAGACAACGACTCCGAGGTAATTTATAAGACACTTCTTCTGTAATGTTAGCCTCGCATCATACAACAAACCAATTTTATAAAAATTCTGTATAACTTCAGGAGTTCTCCAGCTTAGCGGCTAAGAAGTCTTCTTTACAAGAAAAGGGAGAGTTCGAAAAGCATGAGGATGTCTTTGGTGGTCGATCCATGACATTCACTTTGGCTAAAAAAGGAGCCTCTGGCAGAGAAGCAAAGGCTGCAGAGGAGAGGGTAATGATTTTTCTGAGATGCTTAATATTCAAGTTTTATAACAATTTTATTCCAGAAAAAGCACGCTAAAGAACGTAAAGCGACTGTACGCAAACCTACTCTGAATATAAAGAGGTCGTTGAAGAAATTGCCTGGAAATTTGTCTAAGCCATGAGCATGTTTCTCGAAATCTTTGTGATTTTGTTCTCTCTCTCTGTACATTTGTTCAGCTATTGTTGTCTGTTGTTGTTAGATTTTGTTAATCAGAGTTGTTACGTACGCTATTTACAAATTTATATGAGGACTATAAAAGGAACTCGATATTTGTTTGGGGTCTTACCT